GGACTTAGCAGCAACTCCGTAGGAACCGACATGGATGATTATCTCCTAGCCCTTCGGCGTTGGCTGCTTGAAGCTCCCGAAGTGCCGGATCATTGGGCTATAGGAGACGCAGCGGGGCATGACAACGGCATCAACAGCAATCCCCAGGACGACGGAAGAAACCCCCATCAAAAATGCAGTGCTTCTGACAGGGGCATGTCTTCATGAAGCGGCTCAACCCCTGTCTCTTTTTCTTCTTTTTTTTTCCTTTTTTTTTCTTTTCTTTCGCGCTCTTCCTTTTTCTTCTCGCTACTCGCTAGGTTTCTCACGCAGGAGGCCCCCATATAAGGGGGCCTTCCGGAAAAAGGTAGTTTAAGAGAGACATGCGATTCTTGTCCCACGAAACAGTGCCACAAAAACCGTGATTGTGACTGAGTCTCTGTTTATTTGTTACTCGATTTGTTACTTGATTTGTTGTCGCACCCTAAAGTTGCCCTCACCAGCCCCAGTCACCTGCACCGCCCCTAGCCACCTTGCTCAGGCACTACTCAGGCACTGCTCAGGATTTGATCAGGAAATGATCATATAAATCGCTAAACATGGTTTAGACGAGTAGGCAGTCCTCCGCGGTTCAAATGGCAACTTTTCGCAAGGTCCCAGTTTTTGGGACATAAGTGGCCCAAAACTAGGACACCCCCCCCCAACCCAACTCCTTTTCGCTCCCCTTCCCTCCCCACCAAAGTCACATAAAACCCAGTTTACATTCCCCATTAGGTCTTCATTCCCGTCTTCCTCATTCACGAAAGTTGGCAAATCTCACCCTCAAGCTAAGGCACTCCCCAAGCGGATTGCTTCGTTTTTATTCTTGTTAAAAAGATAGTCGCGAATACCTGCTACTTCATCGAGCTCACCCATGTATCAGATGGTGAGAATGTATCAGACGGTATATAGATGATGATGAGTCGAATGAATGATGTTACATAATGATTACATTGATGATATAAGTGATCGATGTGGCATCGTCAAGCTCGGTGATTAGGGCCCACCCCAAAATAGTCTTCATCTTCGCTTGCTTCGTAGCGTCAGGAGGTTACCTGTCTACCCAGAGTTAACATGCTGCAACTCCAAAGGGCTATGATAGGGATAGTGTACATACCTCAGTCTCTATTGCGAAGACTGGCCAGGGTGGAAGGCTTGTTCTGTCTCGCGATGGCGCCAGCGTCCTCCACGAGTTGCCTCATATCGAGAATGCGCTGGCGGCAGGTCTCAAACCTCACCAGCTCATTTGTGTTGATGGTGACTTGGTTGATAGCTCCGATGGGCCTCGAACCCGGAGGGACAGCTGTGCCCTGGTCGTTGCCTTCACCTGCGACGCGGAGAGCGAGAACCAAGGACGCGCGTGCCCAGCAGATGATGAGGCTGTTATTGTACGCTCCGACGCGCTTAGCCTCGTTCCGGTCGAAATGCGTGATGCACTCTGAGTAGGCCTGGGGCAACGTCCATCCGTCGAAGAGCTTCAGGTGGTGGTCACTTGCAACAGAGCCGGTCGCGTCGCAGAACATGTAAGTGAGGCCGAAGTGACTCCAATTCATATTTGGCTTAAGGAAAGCCGGGGCCCCGGCCAGGCGATGCCGGTTGGTCTGGATGGCGACATCTTGACCAATCTTCTTCCGCTTTGTGGGTGTGGTGACCGGGAGATTCACTGCCCATTTTCCAACCTGAACCATTGACTCCACGCCTTTTCTCCCTCGGATCGGTCCAGGGTGCGGGTTAGTGCAATTGGTGTCACACTGCATCCCAGAGACCCTGACGCGACTCAGCAGTGGCCTGCTCGTTCGTGCCGCTGGCTTGGCCCACCAGGACGATGAGCCCATCGCACATCTTCTTTCGTTCGTCGGTCAGGTCGGAGGTTTTCGAAAGTTGGCGGGCAATGCCTGAGTGGTGCTGGCTGGCAGGCGGGGCGGCCGGAGCGGCCGGAGCGGGCAGCATCTTGGGAACTTGGTGAGCAAGGGAAGATGGTTGATTCGGAGAAGGACTTTGGCTTGGTGATGATTCGGGAAATAATAGCGAAAGATAGTAATAGGTGGAGGAAATGGCGGCCTTACTTCCAAGTGATGAGGAGGAATGGTAGGAGGAAAGAATTGATGGTGTTGACTGAACTTGCAGAGTATTTGAATAAAAACGCGGTACGTGTCGAGGGCTCTCACAGGAGAGTTCACTTGAAATTGGAAGGAGTGAAATTAGGAACTGACATTTTCAGGATGAAAAAACGAAAGGAACAGTGCTCTTCTTTCTATCTCTACTCATTGATTACTGTGGGTCTCAAGGCAATCCCCAGGGCCGCCCCGGGGCGGCCCTGGGGCAAGTCCGGGGCAAGCCATTACCTCCTCAATTACAGGATCTACTTTCCGGCCTTGGAGCCACCGAACAACCTGCTGCCCTTCTTGGCGACCCTTTTCCCCTTCTCCTTGACCTTGTGACCAACCCCATGTAACGAGCCCTATTTGTCATGTGATTGTGTATCCTTCTTTGGTGAGCCCTTGGGCGGCACAGGAGCTGTCAGCTTGAAGGAGATGGCAAATGTTGCCTCGTGGCTCTCGTTCAGGGTGTTCACCCCTTGACCGAACCAGACTGTCTTCCACAGCTGTCTTGAGTACCATCGTAACATGGTTAACTGATCCCCAAACTCGTGGCAATGGAGGGCGTGTGGCCAGGTTTGAAGTGTTCCGCCGTGAATAGGTGTAAAATGGTCCCAAAGACGCTTGACAAGAGTTGACGCCTCACCGTCAGAGCGGACCTCGTTGTGGGTTCTGCATATGCGCTCCCACTCCGCTTCTCTGCCTTTGGGCATCACATAGTACGTCTGACCGAAAGCAGACGGCAGAGACGGGCGGAACTTGAAGAGCGTGACGCCTGTATGGGTGTGTGGCGACGGAGGAGAGCCGGACCCAGACGCGGAAGTCAGACAGTTCCAAGAGTGCTGCAGCTTGGCCTTGACAGTACCGGTGGGAATCTGATGCAAAACCTCGGCCTTGAAAGCCGCCCAGAGGAAACATCTCAGAGGGCTGAATCCTGTCCAGACGACTGCCAGGGCCCACCGGTCCGGTGCTACCTGATTGTGATTGACGGTCGGTCTAAGGATGCCGTTTCGGGGATCATGTATCGCCCTTTCACTATCCTCAATTATCCAGTCTGTGCCATGGTAGACTGGTAGCGCACGGAAAGGCATTGACGAAGGATCGGTATTGAGCTCAACCCTCACCGCGAGGTTTTCCATGTCGTTGGTGGTTGCATTGGCGCGCCAAGCTTCTGCGATTGTCGGCCCCTCCAGGCTGATTTGCTGTATCCGGCAAGGCATGTTCCCTTCCTCGTCTTCTGTTAGGAGACGACCGGACGAGGATTGCTGATCGGGGGCAGGCTGTGCCGTCTCAGGTAGCGGGGGAGGTTGCTGCTGCCCTGGAGTGTCGTTGGTCCCGCTTGATGCGCTAGACTGGTTTGGGCCGATGATCTCCTCCGCTGACTGGGCCGCGGCGTGCGCGGCGATAGCCCAGATGATGTCCTTGATGCTGTCGGTAGCCGGTCGGGAAGACATGAAGCAGTCGGACAGGGCGGAAAATCCGGAGACAGCATCAAACTTATTAGCCTGGAGGGCAAGGTTGTTCAAGTGACCTTCCGAAAAGACAGCGTCGGCAACCGCTAAAAATTCGTCCATGGAGGTAGGGTGCTCCTTTAGCTTTTTTGTGTTGGACCATAGGCTAGACAGGGCGGTCTCTTTGACAATACGGCAGAAATCCATGACGCCTGCCGCCTTAGGGCTGCGTAAAGCATCGGCTATTGGGGCTGCGAAAAAGGGCGCAGCGATAGCTGTGGCTCGGTTGAGCTGTTCGCCGGAGAGCTGCAGGTCGTGTACGATGTCCATCTTGGCGGCGCGCGACGGAGGCTCTCTGAAATGGTGGTTCTTGGAAGAGAAAGTTATGTTCTGTTGGACTAGGCCGTTTATTTGCACTAGTACCCGGGCCGGGGAAACCTTTCAGCCGTCGCATGACCTCATTTTGTCATTGCCCCATCACAGCCATCCTCGATTGTGATCAATTAAAGTTAGAAAGCTGCAGGATAGCACCCTCCCTGCCAAGTTACTAGGCAGGGTGCAACTCACACCCTACCGATCCGTTCCTAGCCCAGTCAAGACCCGTGCAGACGCATTCTGAGCAGGTTAGCCCATAGCTCTCGGCATATCTGACAGTCTTAACCCTCGCGGTCCTCCGCAACCCCCTTTTTGCCCCCTACATCATCCGCGTCGCACACTTTTACTCTACACGGAGGAAACCAGGTTGGGGCTATTTGTATAATCTCCCCACGGCCTAAGAGTTAAAGCGGTGGTAGCGACGGAGATTAGACTGGTTAACCAATAAACGGAATGGATTGGGGGTTTCATCTTGTGGTGTTTACTGTGGGCTGTGCCCTATTTATGCCCGATCCTAAAATGAGCTCCTTAGATGCAGAGCGGCCTCGTCAGAATGCAAAGTCACCTTTTTAACAATGAAGATTTTCAGCCCAGTCATACGTAGGAGAGCGCAGTGTACGTGGAAGGACACTAGGTGTCGACAGCGATCTTGTCCCAGTCCAACAGGCATCCCATGCGAGGAGACAGTTTTGCTCGTTAGCCGACTCTCCTTCCTTGCCAATATTAGCACCAAAAGGATAATGTGCGCTTGAGAAACGATGATTCTTATTCGAACTCAGGGAGCCAGTTGGTCCACTGGCTTAACTCCATACCAGGCAGGTAGATTGGTTCGATGTACCAAAAGCTGATCATCTTTACTTGCAAGTCTAGGTCGGTCTGAGCCCATATCTTTAGCTGAGACGTCATGGCGTATTTATACCCAGCGGTAGTTAAACGTGTGGTCCTCGATATCATCTCAAAGAACAGGTGAGTGGAGCCGTATTGGAAGGGGACCTCTGTCTTTCAGAGACCCAAATCGGGGCAAAAGAGAACTCTCACCTTGTTAGGGTGGATACTTTGGACGAGCTGGGAATCGAACCCAGGGCCTTTCGCATACAGTGAGAATATCTTCCACGTATGCTAAGGGAACGCTCTACCAACTGGGCCACACGCCCTGATGCTTTGTGGATGCGGTGCCCTGCCGTTTTGTAGGTACTCGATTCTGGAAGTCCCTGGAGACGTGGGCTAGGAGAGTAGATGTATTGGTGGTTGAGCTAACGACGGGACATCGAGGGCGATATATGGCGAGCCGTCGATGATAGTTTCCCGACCTTTCAATGTAAAATGTGAGGAGTCCAAAGCTGAATCGTGCACAGGGCACCCACAGGGCACCAATACGGTGTTTACGTCTCACAGATTATCTGGAGAGGCAGTTTTTTGATTTTGTTGAGCTTCCATAAATAAAGTGGATTGTAGCTGTAAACTGGGGTCGTGGTGCTGTAGCATAATCCACCAACATGGAGGCCATCATGGCACTGAATCTGCTGGTGAAGGGCTCCATTCCAGGTCCCTGTGCCTCGGCTGTGCGCCAGAGGCAATCTAACAAGAGAGAGGACTCGAACACTCTTTCGCGCCAAGATCCATGGGTGTACACCACGATGATTTTTAACTGGTTGGGGTTTCGCGGCTGCGGAGCTCAACGCGCAGCAGAGTGACACCCTTTTCGCCGGCTGTGGGCATATAATCTCTTCATCCATCCCCTCCTCCAGAGGTAAGTACCGGCCAGACTACCCATCAACACCATTCCGCACCCTCCAGTTCAGTACCTTTGCTCCCCAAGTCCGCAGCCATGGAATTGACAGCAATATTTGGCTTTTTGATCTCCACTTTCAGTTTGCATATCGGCTTGTCCAGATTATGGGGTTCTGTCATGGAGTTTCGACAAGCAGTGTCGAGTACCAGCAGTTTCGCAACGATTTGGATACTTTCGCGCAAGTATTGGCACAAGTGAACAAGCTATTTAAAGTTTAATCTCATCATGCCCTCTTATCTTGATATCAGCACTAATATGTTCCAGGTCACCAACCTATGCTATCAGCTCTAAACCCAAGTCGAGCTCGCTGATATCCGCAACGCCATGCTCTCAGTCACTCGGAACAACCAAGAACATATCGCCATCGTCGTTCCACGGCTCGAAATAAAATACCACACAAGCCTCCGGACGATGGGGTCACGCAACAAAATGCATGACGCACTCAAGCAGCTGGAGTGGGCGTTTCGCGAAAGGGGTCGAGTCCAGGGGCTGCAGAAGAAGATCCAGAATACCACAAATCTGCTGGGCGTTTTGATCGGGCTTGCGCTTCGGTACGACATAGGTTGAGAGTGATCCAGCTTTGGATAAACACTCACTTACTTCTCCCCAAACAGGCAGCAAGGAGGAGTCTGAGCAACCCAGATTGGCCGAATCAAGCAGTCGCTGAACCTGGATACTTTCAAGGCGGCCGAGGAGGCCAATCACATAGCCGATACGATATCCAACGACAGCGGGGATCTCGGTTGCCTCCCATGGCATACCTACAATCCAGGCTGCTGAAACGCCGCATACACCTGCATTGCCCCTTCGACACTTTGTACAAATCCAAAGAACAGTGTCAAGGACAGAACCAATATCGCAACCCAAAATTGCACCCCATTTCTCCGGTCATACCCAGGGTGGGCGAAATTTTTTCAATATCCCTGTCAATCCATATCGATTATCGGCGATATCGGGCGATATCGGTCAATATCAATTCAATATAGTTAACTAGTTCAAACCCGATAATTACGTCATTTCATCAAAACCTACCTCCTCCTCAATATTTTCAAGATATCCGACCTCCGCTATAAGACCTGACCTGATCCAATGCTTCAAGTACTCAAGCATCTCAATAGTAGCCTCCCCTAGTTACATCCTTTCCCATGATATCGTCTGGCGGGCCCCAGAAAAGACTCGTTCTGGCTCAGTGCTCATTGCTGGTATCGAGAGAATATTGATTGCTAGTTGAGATAGCTTTGGCTAGCGGATCTATTGTTGTGGATGGAGCTACTATGATAAAGCTGACCCTGTAATTTAGAGAGGTAGCTCTGACAAATACTCCTTATATTCATCTTGACTTGGTGGCCGGGAAAGTTTTGCAGGTTCTAGAAGAGAATATTATAATCATCTTCTTGATTCTAAGCCTTTTGATCTTATGTTGGGCTTAAAACTTCTAGTATAAGGACCTCCTGGTATTGTTTAAAGTTAACCGAGTCATCCCAGCTCCGGCGACAGGTGAGCGGGGTCTTGATAGAGAAGTAGGGTCAGAATCAGCTATCCAGCTGATAAAGGCTCTCTGTATGGCTTATGGTAAGTGGGAGCTTTACCTGCTTTGCTGTATGATTGTTTAACATCTCCTCAGTTGTCCTCCGCTTCTCTGTAGTAGGCTGTTGATCAGGCCCATCTTTAGTGATTCGGTGGCGATATGGAGGTGTTTGACAAGATGGATAGTAGCTATAGAGCTGAAGATACCCTCGCAGTTGCCGCAGGCCTAAACAGTGGCTGTGATAGTTTCGTTGGCGACCCCGTAGTAGCCAATGGCCGTGATCACCGACCTAGGAAGTACAGGGGCGAGATTTGAAGTACTTCTTGATAACTTAGGAGTAGTTGTCGGAGCCGGTGATGAGGGTGTGTTTGGCAAATGTGGTGGGGAGATGTACCAGGGTAGCAACATCCTTGACCTGATCACGGATGCTTTTGGCACGGCGGAGTCTGGAAAAGACGCTGTTTCCGGTCGTAGAATGGGAAGTGTCGATGCTCTCTACATCGGAAAGGCTGGAGGCTGTACTAGGCGCTGGGCTGTGCATTGTGAAAGTTAAAAATCTTGTGGGAGGGCACGAAAATGGCTGTGGACTTGGTGGATTTAGTGGAAAAGTTTGATGGATTCGACGGAAAGGTAGGAAGACTTCAATGAAGAATGTATTCAATGTACTATTTAGTAGGTAAACCATTGGTTCTGGCCCAGTCACTTGACGGATTAAATAGAGCATCGGCACTGGGAGTGATTTGAACTATTTTTAATCTAGATTACCCTGGATTAATTAAAAAAAAGGTAAAACAATGAGGCCTTTTCTGGCGAATAGGAAAATTGCCTTTGACAGGGTCAGCGAAAAAATAGGGAAGAAAAAAGCCAAATGGTGGCTGTGGAAGGAGAAAGAAAAAAGAAGATAGGACGTACATGGTGCTGCTTTTGGCTGCGTCTCTGATGTGGAGATGGTGTTGTCGAGGGGACCAGCGGTCCGTGCTGCATGTGAGGCCGGATACAATACTTGGCTGTATGGCTTATGTCTGTGACTCGGGAGTCGTGAATGGCATGCGGGGGCTGGCTTTGTTGTCGGGGGAGGAGAGGGATAAGTTGGTCGGCGAGATGGGCAAGAGGTACTTGATAAGGAGAGTGGGAGGTGGAGGGCCGAGAGTTGTTAGTAGCGTTGATTTTGCGAGGTCAGGCGCGAGGGGGATTGGCGGGAGATTTGAACAAGGGCAAAAGGGGTGAACACGGTGGAGATGATACCATTTTTGACGGCAACTGCGGGGAGCAACCACTAGTATGATAGGTATATAACAACAAAGCGAAAACACAAGAAAAAGATCTTGGCCTGTTAGACTAATAATCCCTCCTGACCCTGACCCTACCCGTCGCTCTTTCAAGTGGAGTCGGAGACTTAGACGCGGTTCTCATCGGAATGCCTCAAGGCAGAGGCCGCATCCTGGTCCTTGGTAGCTACCGCACCCGACCCGGACCAGACCGGGCGGCGGACAATGACGGTGAGCAGGGCGAGAACTGCAGCCGCGGGATAAAGATAGAGAAAAGTGGTGAGGAATGGGCGCGCGCGGGTTTCCGATGGCAAGATGATGCGGCCCGGATTAGTGGAAAGGGCTCCGCCGACGACTGAGTATGTGCAGTGAAGCAGCCAGAGAGTCGACGCGACCCAGAGAAGGGTGGGGATCTGGAAAGCGAAAGCGTCAGTATCCGCCGAAAGAAATTCAAGACAACAGGACCACATACATTTCCCAGGGTTCGATCATCCCGCTTCCTCAGAGCTGCCATCGCGTATATGGCAGTGCCAAGGATGCCGATGGCAAGAGCCAAGAGAGTAAAGTCGATGATTAGATACAGCCATGTCTGCCCAAGCAGGCCAGACGCTAGCGTGGCGTACATGACCACATTCTTGATGAACAGGACAGTGGCCAAGACGATGAGGACGGCAGCGGCAACCAATGCTTCGATCCGGAGCAGGCGCCACCACTTTGCCTTGCCTATTGCGACATAGACAACGGCAAGGGTAGTCATATAAAGGGCGATGGTGATGAGTATTTCGCCCACACTAATAAGGAACGAGGCGGTTAGGGAAGGCCAGGTTGCCGGGTTGATTGTATAATAGTATGTGTTTGGGTAGTTCCAGGTTGAGTATCGTCGGACAATGTTCAGCACTTCGACGACAAAGAGGCTAACCACACCACTGAAAGTACGAGTCGTCAGTAACCCGTCGAAAGTCATCGAGGGAAAACATACACGCTGAAGATGGGTGGGGCGGCCCGGAGGAATTGCTGGGCCAGCTTGACGGGTTGGGTCTGGTGCGTGGCAGAACACAGACTGAACACCCAGAAAATCATCAGGGGGATAAGGAGAAGAAGGTCAAGAATGGCGCGGGCCACAAGGGCAGCGAACTGGTTGTATCGAGTCATGTCGAGATGTTTCCGAAGTTGGAATAGCAAGATACTAGTCAACTGTGTTGATGCGATTTCGGCTCTCTTGTTCTTGTCAAAGCGGGGGTTTTGTCTTATACTAAGACTGAGCAGTTGTCAAAGTCTGGTGATGCCGCGCCGTAGTAGGACGGACTCAGGCAGGCAGCTGTCCATGTGGTTGCATTCTGCTGTGGCGGTGCACCCCCTTGGCAGTGCATTGCCCAAGAACCAAGACCCGCGCCTACTTGGCGGGAAGAGGACCACACATGAGAACTCCTCTTTTCCCTCTGTTTCGCCTTGGAGATATTGCCCTGAGAATTTCCGCTTGCATGCGCCCTGCTACACCAGTTCAAACTCCAAGCGGGTGACACATTGCTCACGAACCTGTCTGCTGCCCACATGGTGCCATTCATA